CCCCCCCCCCCCCCCAAAAAGGCCTTGCCCCTGTCTTTCGCCACTGTTTATTCATGACCATTGATGTTCCCTTTGCTCGTCGGAAGGGAAGAAAACAAGGAGGAGAGAAAGAAGCATTTATAGCTAGCACGGGAATAATCGACCGGAAGCTATTAACTGCATGCGTCATTAGCCCACCAACCTTGCTATTGCAAAAATGCGCAAGAAATGATTCCCTTTCCTGCTTTTTTTCTGGTGGTGGAATAAAACGGAGGCATTTCGCGAATAATTGCATTCAGAGAATTACTATACAGCACAAGACAATGCATAAAATTAATTTTCAATTGATTGAATGACTTACATAAAATGTTTGAGACGAAGATGGCTGCACGTGGGCAAATTGCACGACTTTTTAAAAGCCCCTAGCAAATATTCCTTTCCCGTTGTGCCAATATAACGTAATTCCTAGCTCCTTGACAGAATAAGTAAACTTGTTTTTTTTTACGCATTGAAAATATAGGGGATCACAAAAAGTATTTATTCAGAAGACTGTGAATGCTTTCAAAATTTTTCAAGAAAGTTCAAACATATAATTTGAATCATACAAAATTAGTAGCATATATTTAATTTTATTGCCAAAGGTATACTAGAACTGAAATTCGCGTGTATTTGTTATCTTCACTAGGATTCTTGAGGGATTGAAAATAAGTGACGGCAATTTTGTATCGAGTCATTTTTAACTTTCATTACTTGGACGGTTGCCGATATTTTATAACAATACAGTAAAATATCGTTACACCAAGTTGTTCGTTTGAAACTTTCTTCTTCTTCAGAACAATTTCTCCATAGCCGCCATGTTTTAAAAATCTAATTTGAGGATCTCATTTCATGTCATAATTTCAGTATAATGAATTGTTGGCCCTGATTATGGCCAGAGGCTATAATTAATATTTGATATTTAGTAGAAAAATGGAAAACTTCAACTTGTACAGCATTACAAATTCATCAAAAAAGCAAATCTTTCTTTGGGGAAAATTAAGTGTTCATGAAAACACGAGTGCGTTTTGAACGTGCGAAGTATAAAGTCTCGTCATAACGAACTCTTTCCCATCGTGAGTTCGTTGTAACGAGATTGCTAGTTCAAAAGATACTCGTGTATTCAAGATTTTTCGGAATTCACGCAGATCATGATTTGAGGACAAGAACAGTTATTTTAAAAAATGCAAAATATCACAATTTCTACCGGAAGATCAAAAACTTTCTCATGCACTTACGTTCTTCCGCATTTTCAATATATACTCGAAGTACAATAAATCGGGCATTATTCGTGAAAATTATCCCTTGCGACGCTTATTTGAGCGTCGCTCATTCGGTCTCTCGCGCGTTTCCGTCGGGTTTTCTCTAAAGGTGATACAAATTGAACGGTTTTCTATTTCGGAAATCGATTCTGATTCATGAAGGGTCATACTTGCAGACGAAAAAGAGCAAAACACAATGTACAAAATACGCAGTTTTATTATTATTTTATTATTTTATTTTTTTCACTGTTCGGTGAAGAGGAACAATACTGTACAGTATTTTGCATCACTGTTCGGCAGAACTGAGGTATCTAAGTTCTATAAGAAACATAAGTGAAACTCAAAAGGCAAATTATTCATCGCGAAATGTTGTACTAAATTACATTCACAATCGCACAGCAAAATGCTGCAGCACTCAATTTGACCACGATAAAAAATAAGATTGAAATACAGTACTGTACAGTATTTACGGACATGAAGAACTTGCTGATTCGAGCTCCAACGCGCGAACTTGTTTCCTGAGCCGTCAAGCAGGTGTCGCATGAATCGCTGACCAGCTCAAAATTAAGTACCGTAAATGAAATACGATCAGACCATATCAAACCTGAGTGAAACTAACTCAAAAAAACAAAAGAAAATATCGTCAAGAAAAACTGTTTCAAGAAAAAGATGAATTAAAATCCGGACAAAAACGGCATGTACGTAATGGCGACGAAAATCAGGAGAGAATCAAGAATATTTTATCAATTATAATTATTCTCTCAATTCCTGGAATTTACTTCTGGTATCTCGGAAGGATTAATACGCAGCATTGAATAAATTCATCTCATTCATTTGTTACCCTTTCCTTATTTCCTTTCTCTCTTCATGTTGTTCCATTGGCAGAGCCTGAAGTGGTTTGTTTCATCGGAAAATAATTATAAAAAAAATTAACGGCCCTGAACAATTCTTGCTATACAAGGAATTTTTTTCAGGAACCCATTAAAGCGCAACAATAGCTGCAATATTATTCCAATTGCTTATAACAAATTCAATGTTATAATTGTTGAAAAAATAAATGGCAAAGGTATAATTTGTCACGCAAAATTACTAAAGACAAGAAGCGAAATTCTCCAAAAACTCGTCCTTGCACATCTTTGTGAGAACTGAGATAAACTCCAATTTGCACATATATTCTCAAACCTACAAGGTTTTACATCATTGCTAAATTTCAAGAAAACCTAAACGGTCATTTATCCTTGAAGGATAATTTTCCTGTTTTCACTCGCAATATTTTTTTTTTACACTCCCTCGCTCGTGATACTCGAGAGAATTTGCGTGATTGTTTCTGTCTATTTTCAAAGTCCAAATTACAAAAAACTTCATAACGGGGTGGAAGTTCACCCAGGTTGAAGCGCAGCTAAATCTTCTAGTTTCATTTATTCATTTTATTCCTAAAAATAATAGTAATTTTCCCAGGTCCCAATAACATTTCTTTATAAAACGAGATTTCACTCTTTGAAAAAAAAAAAAAAAAACTCACTTGGAGGAGTCGTCTTCGTCTTGGTCGTCGTATCCCGCGTCGCCGGCGCGCAGCGTGGAAGCCAATTGCTGCTTCGCCGCCTTCTTCTTCTTCATGCCGCCGCCGCCGCCGCCGCCGTCGGCAGCACTGGCGTCCACGCCGCAGAACCGCCAGCACAGGTACACAGAGCTGAGTGCCGTCGCCGCCACGGGCACGAACATGCTGAGCAGCAGAGTGCGCACGGCGTCCGCCGAATCGAACGACAACACTGCCAAGGACGGGTCTCGTCGCGAGTACTGACACTGTCGCACAGATGTCGCATTCTGTTCCACAAACTCTTGGTAAACCGAGCAGTTCACCTGCACAACACGAAAAAAGAGTGCGTGAAGAAAAATGTAACGATTTATTGTGAATAACAATAGACTACAGTCGTACCTTTTTTCAGTCAGAAACTTCAAGGGACCAGCAAAGAAAATAATTATAGTAGATTAAAAAATTACTGTAAACTAAAAAACCACGTTTTTCAAGTAAGACTAAAAAGCAAAAAATGAGCAAAATTTGAGTTGCAAAATTTGATCCGGACAAACAAACGGGCAAGAAAGCGAGTTAATAAAAACGTGTTATTAATAAAAAAAAATCGAAAAATGCCTGTTTGGGAGGATTCTGCCACGGGATTATGTACTCAAAATCTCAAGAAATATTATAAAGGAATATAATATTTGGGTACCTGGTGCAGGTACTTGATTATGGGACAGATCTGGGTATGAATGACAGGGAAAGGGACACGTCATTCTAATGAAGGTCAGGTTCAGGAGAGCATAAATAATATTTTATCAATTATAATTATTCTCTCAATTCCTGGAATCTACTTCTGGTTTCTTGGAAGTATTAATATACAGTATTAAAAAAATCAACTTTGAATTAGAGAAGGAAATATTTTTGCAGGGGGAATGAACAAACAATTACAGGAAATTGTTAATTGGCGACATTCTGGGCATAAATTGCTCTTCACTTGAGTTGACAGGATGCTGAATTAAGAGGCATTGATCCAATTATTGGTATTTTAAAACAGAACGCATCAGGTTTCATTTCCTTGATAAATAAAATAAAATCCGAAAGGCCTCCGAAAAATTCAAGTCGTGAAAGTTTGAGTATAAAAACCCTGCGAATTAAACAGATTTTCAATTCATTGATTCAAATGGAATTGAAACAGGGACTTGGAAAACAAATCGACTTCGGGAGCTTCGAGTCACCGAAATCCACCCGCATACGTTTAATTCCAAGGGGAAAAAAACAAAACCTTAATCATTCCGAAGTATGACACATATTTTTTTACAACTTTATAAATTTGAAGTCCTTCAAAATGTGTGACTGAAAAGCTTACCTCAGGTGGGTAACCGCAAGACAATGCGTTGATGTAAAGTCGAGCCCGACGAGGACGAGCGCAACTCGAAGTTTGTGGTGGCAGAGAAACGCTTTCATCACTGTCGAAAAAATTAACATATTGTAAACACAAATCTTTAAAAAAAATGGCATATTTCATAAAAATGTACATGTAATAAACTTATCCACTTCAAAACAGAATATTATTAGCATTGATTTGGTAGCGCCAGTCATTAAATGCGATGCCGAAAATAAAATAAACTGAGAGGGTTGAACATAGTTATTCAAGAAAAAAATGCAAGGATATAAAAACGTTAATTGAAGAAACGCAAAAAAAATTAGCTTTTTAAATGTTCGGGATGAATGACACAACAACCTCATGAATGGAGGAAATCTATGAATTACGAAACTGTTGCGTCAAATATTCATGGTTTTATTTTATAATTTGTGCTTCACTACTTTCCAATGATTTTTCATAATTATTTTATGATTTTAATATTCAATGCAGTTCGGTTTTCTGTGCAGATCCATAAAACGATAGAAATGAAATTGTTGCTTATTTTTCTCATCCGTTAAAATAATCTTCAGCCGCGATTCAAAATTTCACAAAAGCGTGAAAATTAAAAAAATTCCCGGGGAAAGAATGGAATGAAACGCTACACATTTTCCGGTAGAAATATTTCAAAATTCAGTAATAATTCAATAATCCAAAAATGAATATAATGACCTAATTTCAAACACGAAACAACAAAAAGCGATTTTCTTCACAGCTACATTTTCTAAAAAAAACAAGAAGTTAAAACTTCAAAATGTTGCGGCTTATTTAAAAAAATGTTTTAAATTGTCTCGCGTTTTAAATTTCTTTCATCAATCAGCAAAAAATAAAATTATTACGTAATTTCACTCGATATATTTGTACATTGATCGCCCAAATAATAAAAATAAATCACCCATTCGAAAGCCTTAATTTCACGATAATTTCTTTAGTTTCATAATATTCTCCAGGGTAATTTTTTTTTATCCACGGGATGCTGGTATTTCAACGCGAAATTTTCCCACTTTGGCAATACAGCTTTTTAAACGATGACTTTTCTCAAACTACTTTTAAACTTCAAATGACCACGTCAAAAATATTTTTGCGCACTGACATTCCAAGATTTGTGGAACAAGTGCTCCAAAAAAAAAAAAAAAAAAAAAAAAAACAAAAAAATCAGTCAGCGAGGGCCATAAAAACCTCAGCAGTACCTGAACTACAATAAGCCACGAACACTTTGCAAATTCAACGAAAAAAAACCCCAATAATACCAACGGAACCCTGGGCAAACATACCAAAGGCCTTCTTTGTTCACGAGTACCACACAATGATTTGACTCAATTTAATATTTCAAATAATATACACTACAATATTTCGAAGGGGGGAAAATAAACGAAAGTCATAGTACAGTACAGTATATATTGAAGCATGTCGGGCAGCCGCCGTTCGTAAGGGTCACGGGTTGCCATCAATCGATCCACCATCGCCCATTTTCTTCTTCTCTTATTCAAGAACCCTTCACCCATTGAAAACCCCTTCAGCAGCCGAATGTAAGAAAAAATAAAATGAAGGAAAAAAAAAGCATGAAAAATAATGGGGACATGAAAATTTCCCTCGTGTTTTCTTTCGTCGTCGCGTATGAGGAACTTTTCGTCTAGCAGGAGTTTCTCGAAAGTTGTACGCGGAAACAAATTTGGGTCACTCGGGGGAAAAATACCTGTTGATGTTGCATCAACTATAATGATTTGGCGAATAATTTAGCATTGAACCAATAAATGCATAAGACACAAATGCACAAGATAATAAATGCATAAAATCACTTTCAAAGAAATTGAATAACTGAAATACCATTTTTTTGGATGGAGATGACTGCTCGTGGGCAACTTGCAAGACTTTTTTGAAAGCCCCTAGCAAATATTCCTTTGCTTTTGTGCCAATATAACGTAATTCCTAGCTCATTGACAGCATAAGTAAATTTGTTTTTTTTCGCATTGAAAATATAGGGGATCACAAAAAGTATTTATTCAGAAGACTGTGAATACTTTCAAAATTTTTCAAGAAAGTCCCAACAAATAATTTGACTCACACAAACGATTAGTAGCATATATTTCTTTTTATTGCCAATGGTAAACTAGAACTGAAATTATCATGGATTTGTTCTCTTCACTAGGATTCTCGAGGGTTTAAAATTAATTACAATTTTGTATCGAGTCATTTTTCACTTTCATTACTTGGATGGTTTCCGAAATTTTATAACAATACAGTAAAATATCGTTACACCAAGTTGTTCGTTTGAAACTTTCTTCTTCTTCAGAACAATTTCTCCATAGCCGCCATGTTTTAAAAATCTAATTTTAGGATCTCATTTCATGTCATAATTTCAGTATAAGGAATTTTTGGCCCTGATTATGGTTAGATGCTATAATTAATATTTGATATTTAGTAGAAAAATGGAAAACTTCAACTTGTACAGCATTACAACTTCATCAAAAACGCAAATCTTTCGTTGGGGAAAATTGAGTGATCATGAAAACACGAGTGTGTTTTGAACTTTTAAAGTATGATGTCTCGTCATAACGAACTCTTTCCCATTGTGAGTTCGTTGTAACGAGATTGCAAGTTAAAAACATACTCGTGCATTCGGTATTTTTCGGAATTTTTCATAGATTCAATTCTTTCAAGTCATTGGCTTTGTCTAACTTCAAACTTATTGAATGTCAAATGCAGGGAATCCCATAAAATGTCCGACTCTCATTTCCAAAATATGATCCTGATTCATTTTGGCAGTTGAACAACGTTAACAACTTGAAATAAATGGAATGGCAGTTTTAAAATTTCCCTGTTGATGACAAAATTTTCTGCTGATTATAAATCTACTTTTTAATGGGAATTTCAACGCGTCTTCATTCATTCGTTATTTTTTGTGCTCAAATTTTAAATTAAATTTAAAATAAATCGTAGAAAAATTGGGAAACTACGTAATTGCTGAAACTGTGTCAACATCGAAGTCAGTAACTGTATCACAAGTATCATCATCAAAACTTTCGCAAAAATTTCAGCTGTTATTTTCTATTTTTTTTCTGCTTGCCGTGAAAGTTGAATAAGTCGTGAGAACCAACTGCTGGTTAGTTATGAATTCCTAAAATCCCGAACGTATTTTGAACTTGAAAATCAACAAGAAAGTTCCTTTTCCGCAAGATTTTATTTTTCAAGTTACAATAAAACGAGATTTTAGTTTAGTTATAATGAATCAGTAAATGCAGGGAATCGTGACCCTGGTTTTTGGTGGCACTGATTTTCCCGGCTCCGATTTCCATATGGCGCTGAATATTTCCACCCAGTGCCAAAACGCATGCAAACTAACCCTTGAAACCCCCGCTTTCCACGACCTGAACCCCGTTTCCCTTCCTCTTCATACAGTACATATAAACCCCCAACCCCCTTCTTGAAGGATTCGGACCCACGCCTATGATTGCAGGGTATCACGAGAACCCCGCGGGGTTCGACAAAACCCGAAATCACGACCGAAAATCAGAGCATGACCAGCACTGAGAAAAAAAAAAAAAGAAAGGTACAGACTCATTAAGAAGTGGACCTCAATATTAGCAGGTGACCCGGTTCGGACGTCATTTCTTCGTCCCCCCTTTTTTATTATCAGAAAATCGTTTTGACCCAAGGTCATATATGTTGGCAAGTCGCGAAATTTATCGCGGCTTTTACGCGAAAAAAAGGTCAACCTTGTAAGCTCATATACACGGCTTCGCACGTGTCCCATAATTCGTTATCCTGCTGGGCCAGCCTTTTTTTTTTTATATTCACGTCTTCATTTTGTGCGGATATTTCACGAGGGGAGGACACGCGGGGAATTTGCGACTCGTGTGACCCATGCAGTAATTTATGAGGTCGATGGAATGACGAGGAAACGGAACGGACGAGTGCGTGCCGTAAATAAATAAACGAATACTGTAGATTCCGCAGAATTCTTGAGCTTCGAAGAAAACTATAATCGATCAAAGCATTTCTTCAATTCAAAAATGTAGACTTTTGTCTGAATGTCGCGTGAAAGAGAATCAAGAAAGAATTAAGAGGGTTTATAATGGAATATAATTTCTTAATAATGTGCCATAAATGACGCAAACAGGACAATTATCATCAATGTAATGATTTCAATATCTGTTGGTTGTACTTTTACAATTGCCTTTGTACTTATAAAATTTTCTTAAAATGAAGTTAGGAATTGATAATAAACTAGCAATTGGTTTTCTCACGACTTATTCAACTTTCACGGCAAGCTGAAAAAAATAGAAAATAACAGCTGAAATTCTTGCGAAAGTTTTGATATAGATAATTGTGATACAGTACCGACTTCGATGTTATTGACACAGTTTTAGCAATTACGTAGTTTCCCAATTTTTCTACGATTTATTTCAATTGAATTTAAAATTTGAGCACAAAAAAAATAACGAATCAAAGAAAGACGCGTTGAAATTCCCATTAAAAAAAAGTTGATTGATAATCAGCAGAAAATTTCGTCATCAACGGGGAAATTTATACTGAACTATGATTTCTAGTGTCAAAACTGCAGCAAAATAAAATTACGTAGGAAACATTTCAGGAAGTTTCGGGGACATGATATTGCTGTAAATGTGTTAAAAATGGGGGGTCGAAGTTATAATTACAGAACAATCATGACATAAAACGCACGTTAAATAGCAATTTTCGTTTTCTTCGACCAACATTGAAGTTGATTATAGTAAGGGGTAAGTTTCAAAAGGTATTTTCCTCGACGTCACGAATATGGTGAAAAGTTCGCTTAATGATGACGATGAGTTATAACGGAAGCAATTCCTTTTAAAATCCGGACAGTCACGCAAATTTTCATGCGCGCACAACCGAAAATTAGCGCGTAAATACGTACTTGGATTTCACGAAACTTTTGCGGGGGATTCAGCAAAAAGTCAGCAAAGATTTCAGCCTGAAATCTTGATATCACAAATGCTATTTTTCATTTGCCAATTCCGGTATAACAAACTTTTTTGAGGAACATGTTATGATTTCTCAATGAAAAAGCCCTACTGAAGACAGGCACTTTGTCGTATACTTTCCATTCAAAATGTGACTGTGACTGGTTCTTGGAACGTAGGGTGGAATCAAGAACAACAATTCTTCAAAATTGACAAGAACATCCTCTTTCAAAATTGTTCCTGGGTTAGGAATGATGGTGGGGGGGGGGGGGGGCACTTAGATGAAAGAATGAACCAAGCAAAACTCATGTTGAAAGGGGTTTGTTTGTATTCTTGAGAAATCCTAGTGATTTAAAAATTTTAAGCAATTTTGGAACATCCACCTGTTGTGGGTCAACTAGGTGTTGCCCAAAGCTTTTAACTTTGCACCGTGAAATGACTAGATGTTGCTCACGGTTGCGCCATATTGCATAGAAGCAACTAGACACGCAGAGATTAAAATTATATAATTTGGAATATTCTATGCAGGTGTGAAACCTTCATAAAATATTCTGTAATTAACACAAAACACATTGAGCAATCCTCTTCAAAAGAATTCTCATGAATTACAAAACACAACTCCAAGAACCCGGCCTTCAGGAACATTTCCATTAGAATGGACCTGAACCTCATCCTCACAACCTCATCATGATCATCAGAACAGTTCCTGAAGTGTGACTGCAAACACTACTCTGAGAAAGCTTGCATTCTGTGTTGAAAATATCAAACATATATCTTTGAAAATAGACTTAAACGTTGAGGACTTCTCCTCAGGCCACAAATGGCCAATTGCCTGTGTGTGTCATTCTTTCACCTAAACCAATTTCTTTGTCCAAGGTCCAAGGACCCCCAACACCACCCTTACAAATCTTTGCAGGATTTGCTTATAAAAATGTAAGAGTCAAGAAAAAATGCTAGTGTTTACCTGTTATTCAGAGTAAACGTTTTTTTTTATGGTTAAATCTCTTCTTGAAGATCAGTTTTTTAAACACTGATAAGGCCAGAAAAGAAAGATATTGCATATACAAAGGTTTAATTTGAAGAAAATCTTTCAATGATTTTCAAAATCTTGTTACAACAAATTATTGATTATAACTTATTATTAATTATTAATTATAATTATTTTTATGAGATCCCCACAAGTTTGCTGTGATGAGATTTTACTCCATTATTAAAATTATTACCATGTGCTTGAAAGTGAAACAGTTTGCAGTAAAAATGATTGTGCACTGAATTGAAAACTGCATCAACATTTTATTTGAAAATCTGTTCCCACTTTCTTTCATTTATTTTTTCTCAATAAGTTAAGTCGTCTCTTTCAACATACAGTATACACATACTCACCAGTCATTCTTGCCCAGCTCAAAGAGCTCCACAGACTCGTCGGGCAGTCGCAAGTCGCAGTCCTCGGGCTCAGGGTTGTACATGACCCAGACGTGCAAACACTTGTAGATGTCAGCCGTGCAGCCCTCTCGACACGACGTCCAGGAACAATTGGAGAAGCCCACTCGGTTGACGACGCCGCAAACGCGACAGTCTGTCAAACTGCTGAACCTGGCGTCCAACGACACCAAGGCCGGGTTCGCCACGATCGGGATGAGGAAGACGAGTGCCGTGAAACTCGCGCAAATGACGCACGACGCCGAAAAGTCGAGGAGCCATTCGAGCGCGCTGCGAAACGTCATGGCTTCCTTTTTGGCGGGGACCTTTTCGGCTTCCAGCTCTTGGCGCAGGCGTTTCGCCAGAGCTTCTCGCGCCTTTGCCAGTGCTCTGAAAAAAATTTAAAAAATTGACAGATGAAGAAGAAGACTAAACGGAAGATTAGAGTCAATCTAAAAAAAAGAGGGGAATCAGGAGATGGTGATGGTGTTGTTCAGAAAGCATGCTTGACCTTGTAATCAATTCTTTTTTTATTTTTAGACTTCGTGATAAATATTCCATTAGAAAATCAATATTTTTCAAGGCTTTTTCGTGAAATGGAAGTGTCGTCAAAATTCCACGGAAAGACCAAGAGCTTGAATGAGATTTGTTTTTCTAATTTATGTTATTTTTTCAGGGGTTTTCAATCTTCAGAAACATAAAATGAAAAAATCATCAATCTTTGTACGATATTCGTTCGGAATAGAAACTTTTTTGCTCCGCAAAGCAAAAGATTTTTTTAAAAGATATAAATGACACATTTTACAGTATTTATATTCTGAAAGGAACAACTAATTAAGGCTAATATGAATATAAGAGCATAATTTACCCTGGCAGAAAGATTAAAAAAAATCCACGAAAAATAAGAATTTGAATGCGTTTTGACAACCAAAATTGATTCGTTTTTGTGCATGCCAGAAATTTTAATTTGTCAATTCATTCATTCACTTGAACCAATTTTTAAAATTTTGGTATACTCACTTGCGATCCGCGCGTTTTGAATTCACGGCATCCATGGACTTCGTCTTCCGCACAGGTGCTTTCAATTTCTTTCGATGATTTTCAGAATTCGTCGCATTGCTTTTTGTTTTGTGTCTCAGCTTTGACTTCTTTGTAAATTTTTTCAAACCTTTGTTTCAAGAAAAAATAAATTAATGAAATAAATCAAAACGTGAAACGATCCATTGAAAACTGGGATTTGCAATCGGATTCACGATAATACACCTGTTCAATCATCGTGAAAATACTGTACATGAGTAAAAAAAAAATTTGGCAGAAAGAAAATTGATTAAAATTTCTCAATTTCTAATCTAAGCTAATTTACAGAAATCGGAGCAAAATCAATGCGTAGAAAATTGATGACAGAAAGCAAAACAGTAACAATTTTTCTCTTTAATTAATTCTCTTGCAATTAGTAATTCGTTATAACGAGGTTACACGAATAATTAAAAATGCTAACCTCGATCATCATCGTCGGCCAGGAATGCGATCGGTGTCCCGACACCCGGTGGTGACGTTGGCATAGTTGCCAACGACGACGCTGCTAAAGCTGGTGCAGAAATGATGACACCGGCTTCCAACGGACGTGTCGGCCATTTTTCGTCATCCGACAGAGCTTCTATTTGAATGCTTGTCGTTTCTGCAGTCACCAGTAGGATTTCTTCTTCGAGATTAGGTTCTTCTGAGGCAGTGACTTCTACATAAATACACAGTACAAATATATAAATTAGTAAATGCTCCTTCATTGAAACTATAATTTTAAAATTTTGGAGATCTGATTGGCATTTATGTCCTCGAGAGGGCAAATAAATTCGCTGATTTATCGTCAAATGATTAATTTTCCGCATGTGACTAATTTTGCAAGGCCTACAGAGATACCAACAGAATTGTTGCAGACCTTTAGTCCGTTCTATGGAATTGTTGCAGACCTTTAGTCCGTTCTGTGAATCAAGATTATTATCTTGATTCACAGAACGGACTAAAGGTCTGCAACAATTCCAGTGGTATCTCTGTAGGCCTTGCAGAATTAGTCACATGTGGAAAATTAATAATTTGACGATAAATCAGCGAATTTATTTGTCCTCTCGAGGACATGAACTATTCATCAACTGAGATTCAACTTTTAATTTCCTATACTGTACTGCAAAAATTTCTCCCTCACCTCATTAAATCACGCACACAATTCTTATTGAATAGTTTCAAGGCAGCTTTCGAACAAGAAACTTCTGCCAAAAAGTGTTCAGAAAGTCATCACAAAGAAATAAATTGCTAAGAAAAAAGCGAGCATCTTTTTATTAAAAAAATAACGTTGTTGTTCATTTAGAATGACCTTAAGGGAATAAAGCTCTTGGCGATCAAATTTTCAAAATTTTTCGTACATTTAATTTTCTCTGAGTCAATTTAGCGCACATCTTGAATGATTTTTGCGTTTCTCTGGTGAATCTCCCACGTCTGTATTTGACAATACGCGTTTCAGTCAATCAGAATAAACAATTATTCATGCGATTTAACCCTCCAAAAAGACTATTCTTCAAATCAGTCTCATTTTTTTCAGTTGTTGAAATTTACTTGAAGTGTGAACAATGATGATCTTTAAAAAACTGCTGAGTTGATTGAGAAATTCTTTTTGGGACTTTACTAAATTAAAATCTTTTTTTTTTTTTTTGGGAATTTATACAAAGAAGTTTCAAGCCAGTTTCCCCACGTCGATTGACCCTGTTTCACCTTCAATTTTGGGTTCACTCTGAAAAAATTTCAAGGACTGACACTAACCGTGATCAGGTGAGGCCACAATTTCCAGTTCCAGGGCATCTTGCAGAGCTTCAGCACTGGTTTCTGCAATCAAAGCAGCTTCTTCTTCATCCGAAGCGATTCTTTCAGTGCTGGGCTGATTGAAAGTGTCCAATTCGAAGACCTCTTCATCAAATTCCTTTGGGTTGGAGAAAAATGTGAAAAAACAATGTTTAGGAAATTTCCTCCAAATGTTAATAAACAAAGAGATGAAGTTTATTCCATATTATTCCACTGACAGAGGCTCCAAAATATATGGAGTCACCAGAGAATGTTGCTCTTTCACACAAATTAAAATTCACTTTTGGCTTAATTTTTGCCTTTTGAACTTTGTTTCATGCCAAAGTGGTGTTGTCTGAACTGATATACAGTAAAACAAATAATCAAAACACAATATAGAGTAGTACAGGAATTCAATGAAGAGACCCTTTCTGAAATCTTAAAGGATCAAGATAAATTGTTGGCTTTATACGATTCATCATCAAAGAT